AATCTCCATTTTGGATGGGCCTAAGCATCGTTCCCTTATTTACACTTGCTCTTGAATCTTAAGCCTTTTCCTCTAAACTTAACACCTATCTAATGCTTCTATTTGCTCTGTATCTTTCTAATAAACTGAATGCTGTTTTAAACAGACATTTTTATGCCAGTTTGTGCCGTAGGATATTGTGACCTGGTAATGTGCTTTGGAAGGCCTGGACCTATGCAGGCTGACTACCAGTTGCAGGGCTTAAGCAGCCCTTGTGTCTTTTCAGAGAGGGCAAGTCGTTTTCCTGCCTTTGGCCTTGCTTCTACATCTCTGCTTGAGGGGAAGAAAAGAAGATGGTGATAGCAAATACATGTTGATGCAGTATCTGCTGTATTATCCTGACCTCTCTGGGGTGGGGTAGGTCTGATGGAGAATGATCCCAACAACCCCTAAAAATACGTGTCCTCCCCAGAGGGAAAATGGCCTGATTTGGAGTGAGGGGCTTTTGAGGGTTGTTTTAGATAAGAGTTCTAATGGGTGTCTTAATCGGCTTCTTGATCACTTAATTTTTAGAATATGGATAAACAAAGCCTAGTACAAGAAATGGAATAGTGAATTTATAGACAAGAAGTTTTATTACTGATGGAAAAATGATCTCTGTGAATATATTTTACTCATGAATTGTTCGAAGTCTGATTTCAAACCATACAGAATTATCAGATGTCACCCAGTTAAAACTGTAACAATAAAAAGGATACGCATCATTTAAAATAACACAATACAGAACATATGTGAGATCCCACACGTATGAGGAAAAAAATCTGGGATTTGAACTTGGTAAATCAGACTGGAATTCTTTATAAAACAAATTTCCTTCAGCGTATGGTAGTGAGTCGAAGAATTGACTATACAATAATTCATAAATGATATCATTTAATTAAGTTATATTAATCTAAATGTTTCTGAATTGTGATGTAGGGCTTTTAAATTGGTACATATTACTATTGCTGGTAGCTGTGCCTATTAAGTTATTCATTTTGATTAAATATTTCTGAAAAAAATACTGAAATAGTCTTGGTAATTCATTCTGTTGTACTTATATTGTCCATATTCCCTAAAACATATATATTGCTACAACATAGGTAATTTATTTTTTTTCATGAAGTTGCCAGATCTACCATTATAAACTGTTGCAAAACTGAAGTTCATCTTTTTATGATTCAGTGGTTTTTAAATGTGTGGGAAAGGATATTGGCTCAAAATTGAGAACAACTATAATTAAAAATTGTTTTGTTCAAATATGGACTCTTCTTTTAGTTACATTAACAAAATATGGGGTTTGGGTGGATGTCAAGCTTTTGTTAGGTTTTTTGTTGGTTTGAGATATATTTGGTTGTTTATTCTTCGAGACATATATGGTTTGGTTGATTGCTTTTTAATTGTTTGGTCTTTTTGTGCCTACTATAAGCTGCACAGACTTTTCTGGGAGTTGGGCAGTCTCATTAATAATATTTCCTAATGGATTAATATCATCTCCACGCATGGATTTTTAAGTTTTATATGTCTCAAGATTGCCATATGTAAATAGGGAGTGTATTTTCAAGTTAATTGTCTTGTGCAGAACTAATATAAATTTTCAATTTTTTCTTTTGTTTTGTAATTTTTTTATTCTTAATGTTCTGTTTCTTTGAATAGAAAGCAATATAAAGCATTATATTAAATCTGACAGTTTACTTTGTCTTGCTTCAGATTTGTGACAGTGAAACAATTCTCTTAAGAACAAGGATGCTGTTGCATGACATGGTTATTGCCATTGGTAATTAAGTGCCGATATTTTGTTTTCTAGCAGTTAGATTATCTCTCTGTGCGTGTGCGTGTGTGCATGTGTGTAAATATTTATCTATTTCTGGAAGGGGAAAACTTAAACACATTCGCAGTGGGATGTTAAATTTCCAGAATTTTTCAAGCACTGTTTCTCTCTCTCTCTCCCTATCTTATCTTGTTATTTTGCATTATGTATAACTTAGTTTGCTAATAAAATCAAATCTGGTATATAAAATGTAAAAGTGCAGCTGATTCATAAATTTTAGCTGGGTGGATGATTTTTCCCAAAAATCAGGTAAGTAAAAAATAAAGATTTTGCATAGATTGTGTAGCTAAAATAGATGTCAATATACTCAATCCAGAACTCTTACCTTTTTAAAGATTCAATACTTTTTGTATTGCAATACTTTCTGCAATACTTTTTGTCATCTCTTTCTTATTTCTCTTTTCTTTGTGTATCTCTAGTCAGACTCACAAAGCCAGAAGTTTCTTCAAACTCCAGAACCTTTAGACTGACTTTGTTCTTTCTGAATGCATAAAACGACCAGTCTAGTTTTTCGAAACTAATCTCAAGGAGAATAAATGAACTGCTACCCACCCTGTTACACTTCTTATACCTCATGCTACCTTGATTAGGCTTCAAAGGAACTTGAAGAGACCCATTGACTTCTACAGAAGTGAACAAAAGAAGATGCAAGCAAAGAAGGCACTGATGTAAAGGGAGCTAGGGTAGGAGCATAGAAACTGGCATTTTGACTGCTATATTTTAAATAAAAGTATGTGATCAATCCAAATTGCCTTTTTTAGCTGTAGGGTGCTTGTACCGTAAAACTGAGACAATCTAAGCAAAGTGTCAGACTCAACAATTAAAGTAAAAGGCTGACGAAGCCAGAAGTTAGAGATTAATTTTTCACATCTGCTCATAATGGATCTTAAATATTGTGTAGGATAACATTTTCTTTCTTTCCAATCTTTTATCTATATGCTGTTTCTGTGACACAAAATATATAATTGTTGAGTATTGAGTCTGCTCAAAAGAGTGTTAACTTTCCAAGTACACACTATAACAAGGAGAAAGCATTCCTACTAGGGAATCTTAGCAAATTCTCAGATTTGTCTACTATTTAACATGTGGATTAACAGTAATATTCTATAGCACTGAAACTATTGGGTTTGGGTGACGAAAGAATCTGGTATTCAATTAAAGCGTTTTCCATTTCTTGCACTATACATGCTGAAGGGATGGGAGAGAAAACAGATTTATATGAAAGGTGATTTGATAAGTGTTTGAAAGAGTAAAACAATTTGTCCAGGTGAATTTAGTAGCATGTACATTGCAGGTGGGAAAAGTACTTGTCTTTGGTTATCTGTGTACTTAAAAGTATATAAATCTTTTTAAGTATGGTGAAATTAATATTCTATAGAATTAAACCACATATTAGTGGGAGGAAGTAAAGAAAATAAGAATGTCCAACATGAAACCTTAGATAACAAGTTATAATAATCTTATTTCATTATAAACTACACCCCCATATTAATTCTTATATTTTACCATATTGCATATAAACTTGACTTTGCTGTTAGTCTTTCTCTTCCTGATCTATATGATGTTAGGGAAAGCCAAACTCACTTTAGAAAGCATGTATTTATTTGATTTATTGAATTACTCCAGAGGCTCTATTTCATGATAAATTAAGTTTATCTCATGTTTCTTCTTGCAATCAAACTTAACAAATTTAAAGAGCCTATAGTTTTGGAGTGTTCAGCAAAATGTACTTGATGTAACCCTTCACCATAATGAAATCATTGTACTTAAAAACACACTTCCTTTAAAATGTGCTTGATTATGAAAATGTAAATAGGGCTTGTGTATTGAGATTCATGGATCTTGGAATAAAAAAAATTGTGCGCATACCCTCCACATCCAAAGCTGAGAAGTCCATTATCGTCCAAAGCTGAGAAGTCCATTACTGTGTATGGATGGAAGAAAAAGACAACAAGCTTTAAAGCCTAGGGCTGCTATAAATAGAGGATTTAATTCTACAGTTAGCAATCTTTGTTTAATTATTAGGGCTTCCTGTATCTGCTCTAAAGACAATTTATTTGTCTGAGCTTTGTCCTTGAACTCTGCTTATTCTGAGTGCAAGTCTGAGTTCCTGGAGAGAGATTTATTGCTGAGCTCTGGTGAAGCTCTGACAGGAAGGAATTGTACCTCTCGGTAGTTGATACAACATTCTCAGTTTGCTTTCCCTACTGCAGAATTAAGCCTAAGGTTTTAATTCAGGTTTAATGACAACAGCTCTGTCACATAATTTTTTAGGTTGATAGGGAGCTTTTACTAATGATAAAGTCTCCCTTGAGTTCAGCTCAACTCCTGGTGGTTTCATGAATACAGCAGTGTGTGTTTTCTTGACAGTGATTTGCAAGTGATTTATATTGTTTCTTCCATGATACTTTTCAGTTTTGCACTCACACGTCCATCCCTAGTATTTTGGAGTCCCGTTCAAATACTAAGCAGCCTGTCTAACTTTGGATCCCAGATGAGGTCTACAAGGTGCTGCCAGCTACATAAGCCTACATTGCTTATTCTTTGTCTAGTTCCTGACCATTGGGAACATGATGAAGTGAATTTTTTAACAACCGAAAGAACTGGAACACATAGATACAAAGAATAGTTATCATCTTAATCATAATAATCATCTGCACATTGAAGTATGTGCACCAGCAAAGATACAAGTAGTCCTTGCTTAGTGACCACTTGTTCAATGACCTTTAGAAGTTATGACAGTGCTGAACGAGGAGACTTATGACCAGTCCTCAAAATTGTGGCTGTTGCAGTGTCCCCACAGTCATGTAGTTGCAATTTGGGCACTTGGCAACCAGTGCACAATTACGATGGTCGCAGTGTCTCACAGTCACATGATCTCCATTGCAACCTTCACTGCTGGTTTCCGACAAGTGAAGTCAATGGGGAAGCCAGCAGGAAGTTGCAAGTCGTGATCACATGATGTCATGCTTAAGGACAGCATGTGTTTAGCTCAATGACTGCAACCGGAGCTGCCATTGTAAGTTGCCACAGTCATGTGATTTTTCACTTTATGACCACGTTGCTTAGTGACAGAGTTGCTATTTCCAATTACGGTCATTAAGTGAGGACTACCTGTACTATACATATAGTGAATTGAACCACTGTTGCACTGTCACTGCATCTATAAAGGCACTGTTTTCTTTTGCATTATTCAGCACATGAATCAAAAGAACTATTCTATATAATTTAAGGAAGACCAAAATTTCTCAGCTGAAGAGACAGCCAGGATGGTGTTCCTATAATTGTGTTGAACTAGGAAGTTCTGTCCTATCTACTTTTCAGTTTTTCCTCTGTTAAAATTTTGTGCAATTGAATCTTAGAAGTATTTTTATGATTTCTCCACAGAGAATGCTGTCTGACATTCTTTTTAAGGTAACCCAGACCCTGATGGAGGTCAAGGGACAGGAAGAACACCTTAAGGGCTTTTAGAAGGAATATTTTAAGGATCTGATGGATAAAATTGCTTAGATTTGTTCAGAGTTGGACTCTACCCTAGGGAATTAACTGGTTAGGGTTGTTGCCTTATTATCTGGGAGGAGTTTGAGCCTGTGAATCTTGTTGAAGTGACAGGAGCTTCAGAAATGTCAGCACTGACATCTGTGTATGCACTTCCTGATTGATCAAGGCCTCCCAGGGGGTGATCAACCATTGAGTTCAGGCAGTGGTTAACTGATCCTGGCTTGAGGTGGTGGTGGTGGTGCACCCCCTTCTCAAGAAGCCATTGCTAGACCCAGGAGTGCTGAATGACCTTTAGTCTCTTTCTAACCTTCCCTTTTTGTGAAAGCTTGTGGAGAAGATGGTATGACAACTTTAGAGGATTCTGGAAGAAGCTGATTTTCAGTTTGGCTTTAGGTTTGGGTACAGTACTGAGGCATCATTAATTGTGATTGTGAATGACCTCTGGCAGGACCAGAATAAGGATGGTGCAACTCTCTTGGTCCTGCTTGATGGGCCGTCTTTGGGCTTGGGAATACAGGGTATTGTTTTACAGTGATTCTCCTCCTTGTTGGTAGGTGCACAGAGATCCAGCTAAGACCCTTGTTTGATTCTCTCCCCACTTTATTCAATATCTGTGTGATGTTGCTGGGTGAGGACATCCCTTGGATGGGATCAGATGTCATCAGTATGCTGATGACCCTCAGCTTTGCATTTCAATCCCTCACCAAACAAGGACTTGCTGCAGAGGTCCTGTTGTGGTGCCTGGAGGCTGCAAGAGTCTGGAAGGGGAGGAACAGGTTTAGTCTCAACTCTAGCAGGACTAAGTGTCTTTGGTTTCAAGTACCTGCTGGTAACAGTGATTTACCATTGGTAGTTCTTGATGGGATGGCACTGGTCCAGATACAACTGGTATATAATGTGGGGTCCTCTGGACTATTGACCCCTGCTCAATTGGGAATTAGCAGCCATAGCTAGAAAGGCCTTTACACAAATCTTTCTTATGTGACAGTTGGATTCTTTTCTGAACATGGAGGCCCTTCTCTGTCAGTTATGTCCTAGTCACCACCTGTTTGAACTATTGCAATATAGTCTATATGGGGCTACCCTTGAAGACCATTTGGAAGCTACAGCTGGTCCAAAATGCAGTGTGTGAATAATTATTGGTGGTTCCCTCTTTGCTTATGTAATACCACTGTTTTGCAAGCTGCATTAGTTACTGGTGAGCTTCCACATGCAATTCAAGGTGGTTGTCACCTACAAATCACTTCATAACTCAGGACCTAGCTACAGTACCTGTGGGATTGTATTTCTCTTGTTGCTTCTGCCCAACCAATAAGATCTGCATAAGTTGACATGCTCCAGATCCTAGCTGTAAAACATGGTCATCTTGTGGGATCTAGGAGACATACCTTCTTGACAGCTGCACCTCCTCTGTGGAACAAGGTGCCCCCTAGGAACAAAGAAACTTGTTGGGCTTCTTTAAAGCTGCAAAGACTTGGCTCTTTTGACAGGCCCTGGGGTAGAGTCAAGTGACTGGTCCCTAATGGAAGTTAGTGGGGGAATATGTTTATGATGCTAATTTGTTTGCTATTTCTGTATTGTTACTTTTAGTTGATATTTTTACTTGATGTTTTCATTTATTATGTAAGCTTTCTCAAGTCACTTTGTTGACAAAGAATAAATAAGGAATTTCCTCCTCAAGTAATAGTTCATAAATGTCTACAAAATTCGAGTTCTTCCTGACCCTGCAGATTCCTTCCTGTAGTACACAATATTGGTTATGGTGGGTACTGTCCTCTACAATTCAGAAATAAAGCATTGCCCAAACCTAAAGATTAACAAAGGCACTTTAGGCTTTTTGTTTGATTAGGTAACACTTTAACATTTCATCATGAAATCAACTAGTTCTACAATAATTCTTCACATCTGATAAATTGTACTTTAATGTAGTATGATGTGAATCCCACATGAGAAAATAAGGCATTTCCAATCATTTTATATAGGCATTTTTATTGATTATGCATTCATTATATTAGATGGATATATTGACCCCAGTCTGTTTATTTCAAAGAGGGGCTGTTGAAATAGATAGAAAAATTATTTCTCAAAAAAGTTTTGAAGTTTCCTTTGTTTCGTTTTTATGCAGAATATATGACATTTCTTATGATGACAGTAATCTATATACCTATTTTAGAAATGTATCCCTTATCTCTTTTAGTTAATAACTTTCCAGGATTCCTTACAAGAAA